ATCTTAAAATGATTGTTGAATTTTCACTTCTAAGGAAAGTGATAATGACTGTTGGCCCCCCGCCCAATGCCCATTGTGTTTGTTCGGCGAAAGTGCTCCTCCCTGGGCTCGCACTTTGATTTCTAACGTGTGAAATCTTGGGGTTCAGAACGCGCTGTTGGCCCCCGAACTACAACAACAACAACAACAACAGCTCCCGCCTGATACATCCTCACGATTGAATTCAACATTGCGCTCTCGCGCGTGACTTCCTCACACCTCTGGCGTGGGACCCTCCTCGAAATTTGTTTACACGCCGCACCCGCGACACTCAAACATCACGTTCTCGCCCTGGCGATTTCCATTATGTACTTGGGAATCGCACTATCTCTCGGAACTTCCCGGTGATTCATGCAGGACGCGCGCTTCAGAAACCAGCCTGCTCGATCTGGCCACCTGGGCCTACCTTCCCGACCCGCCCTTTAATGTCTATCCCCCGATATACGCGCCTTGTTCTGCCATGTGGTTTCTGCTCCTAGCCCCTCTCCTGCTGTTTTTATTCTCTCTCTCTCTCTCGTTCCCCCTCTCCCTCTCCTGATCCATGTTTCTCCCTTTCCCTCGCCCGTTCCTTACATACGTCCTCTCGTCCCTTGATTTAGGGGACGCCCCAGATACACGTGCCAGAAATATATACACTCAAGGGGATACGATCGAAGTCGGAGAGGGCGGGTAACGAGGGTGAAGGATATACGTGTTGGATGGCACGCAATCGGATAATAACGAACAATCATAAAACATGGTTGTTACTGCTGTTGAGTTCCCATTTCGAGCGGATTATAACTGTTGACCCCCCGTACCCGGCGACCACTGCGTTTTTCAATTGAATTACTCCTTCTCGTGCTCGCACCTGGTTCTGTAAAGAGAAATACAGGGGTCACCAACATGTTGGGCTCACAATGGCTCCCGCCAGAAAATTTTTCACAGTTGATTGAAAGATCGCGCTCTCGCGCAGAATTTCCTCACCATTTATGCAGGAATCGCGCTCTGGCGTGGGACCCCCTCCAATTTATTCAAACGCCGCGCCCTCGACGATCATGACTCTCGCTCTCGCTCTGGCTTCTCGCGGTTCACTTGGGGATCGCTCTATCGCTCGAACCCCCCTTGCGAGTCTTGCAGTACTCACCCTTAGGCCCGCCTTCCCGACCCGCCCGTCAGGTTCTACGCGCCCGATCATCTCGCCTGGTTCTGCCGCGCGCTTTCTGCTCCTAGCCCCCGTCCTGCTAATTTACCTCGTGTTCCATCCTTCGTCCTCCCCCCCCCAATCCGTCCTCTCTTCCCCTGTTTTAGGGGCTGCACCGATTGCGTGCGGGAGATATGGAAGAGAAGCCCCCAGAAGGGGCCCGATCGAATACGAAGAGGGCAAGTGTCGAGGGTTCGGGATATACGTGTTGCATGGCACGAACGCAAGTAAGAACGAACAGTATTCAAATGCTTGTTGTTGTTTTTGTTGAACTCTCACCTCTGAAGAATAATTATTGTTGATCCCCCCCGTCCGGTGCACGTTGTTTTTTCCGATTGAAGTGCCCTTCCCGGGGCTCGCACCTTGTTTTTATCTGGGAAGATCTTAAAGGTCAAACTGTGTCGTCGGCCCTCGATTTACAACAACAGCGGCTCCCGCCTGATACTTCCTCACAATTTATCGAAGAGTCGCGCTCTCGCTTGGGACTTCCTTGCAATTTACCACCGGATCGCCGCTCCCGCTTGATACTTCTTTACAATTTATTGAATACTCGCGCTCTCACTTGGGGCTTCCGCGCTCCTCTCGACACGGTTGCAGTTCTCACTATCCTTCCGCCCCGCTCTCCCAACATCCCGCTTCTTTTCAGGGTTCCACAGAATTTGTTTCTGACACCAGTTCGCAGCTGTACGTCCCCCGTGGGGGTATCCACGATATGTTCTTTCAAGGGGGTGGTACGTGGCGCTGTTTATGGCGCGACCCATGGCGAAACTTGTTGTTAACCTGTGTTGGAGTGGCTGGCGCAAGCCATGGCGCACGCTGAATCGCCACTCGCAGCGCAAATCATCGTCCTCCCTCCTTCTTGCCCCTCCCCTCCCTTCCTCCGATCCCTTCGTCCTCATTCTAGAAACCCAAATCAGTGGATGGTGATAATAATATGGATCTTGAGATCGATTGTGGGATCGATAGTGGAATCGATCGAGAGGACGATTGTAAGGTCGATCGTGAGACCGAGAATGAAGTCGATTCAATGATCTCGAACGCGGGATCGCTCGTGCGATCTGCAGTGATATCGCCTGTGAGATCGATAGTGAGATCGATTGTGAGATCGATGGTGAGATCGACACAAGTGGGTAACGAGAACGAAAGGATAGTGATATTGTGAAGTGATTTGAGTAGGTAGTGAGATCGATTGATGAGTCGAGTAAGTAGTGAGATCGATTGTGAGTCGATGGTCGGACCGATTGATCAGAACATCGGCGAGGGGAACCCGGGAACCCGCGAAGCTTGCCGGCCACCGAAAGCGGCCCCGGAACCCGGAAACCGGAAGCCGGGAGCCCAGAAGCGGAGACCCCGGAGCCCAGCGTGCGACCAAGATCGGCGGGACGGTTTCGCCAAATCTCTCAACTAAAGGGGGCCTGGGACACACAAATAAATACACTCGAATAACAAGATTCCCCATATTTCCCCATATTTTCTGGGTTTCTGTCTTCCCCCCACCACTTCCCATATTTTCCCACATTTTCTGGGGAATCGAGGATTAACTGTGTCTGTGTGTTTCTTTCCCTCCTGATCAACTTCCGCGAGGACCCTTGGGTGCAAGCACTGATTGGGGAACGTTGCAGGTGAAAAAGACACACCCCTCAGGGGGTAGGGTCGAAGACGAAAAGGGCGGGTTTCGAGGGTGTTAGATATACGTGTTGAGTGGCCCGCGAGCAGATAAGAGCGAACAGTCTTTAAACTTTGTTGTTGTTGTTGTGATTGTTGCTGTTGTTATTGGTGCTGTTGTTGTTATTATTGTGGTTGTCGTCGTTGTTGTTCCTGTTGTTGCGTTTTGTTCCTCTCCCAAGCCTTCCTGTGTGTTGGGCCCTCGGTGTGAATCCGCAGCGCCGCGCGTCTCCTCCTCCTTCTCCCCGTCCTCTTCCTCCTCGTCCTCTTCGTCGACATCACCATCCCCATCGTCGTCATCATCACCACCATCCCACCTCGCTCTTCCCTCAACATGCCCCAAGATGCCCCGAGACGGTCGGGAGGGACTCGGCCCCCTGGGTGCGCTGCCCCGGGGGGTGCGGGAGCCTGCCCTCCCCGCCCCCCGCCCACCCCCGTCGGGGAGACGTCGGGTCAGGGCGCCCTGGAAGACGCGGGGAGCGTTGGACAGAAAGTGTGCGACGGGCTCGCGTCGTGCTGGCTTCGGCGTTGGTTTCCGACACCGCGGGCATCGTTCAACCTTGAACGATCGGCCGTTTCCGAAACGTCAGATCGTTCAACAACGACCGATTCTGGGTCGCGGGCGGGGTTCCACGTGGAACGCCGGCGGCGGGGTCGCCGCCGGGCGACACGACGCGAACCTACCGTAACCGCTTGGGCGAAGCAGTAGCGGGCAGTCCTGTTCGTAGGCCTGGGGCCAAGGGGTTGCAATCCGACTCGCGATGCCCAAATCGTCCAAAGAGACTGACAAGACAAGACAGGACAAGAGCCCGCGCACGAGTGTCCGCACGAGGGGACTCGGCGGCTTGGGGGCCAGAGCACCCAAGAAACTGCGTCAAATGCGGTGCTCCCCAGATACAACTTTTGAAATACCTGCTCATATGCTACCGTGCGACACGAAGCCAGCCTCAAAATCGTCCCATTAAGCATCAGCAGTGCTTTCGAACAGAATCGTCGAAGGAGGCCGACCTTCGTGGAAACCGCGGCCTCGTCTTCGTCCGTGTCCCTTGGGGCGTGGCGGCCGCCATCCCTGGGCGTCTCGGCAAGGGGAAAAAGGATCTTCGACTTGGGGGGGGCGTCTTGGAACACCACCGACCGGAGGCAGCTCCAGCATCAATGGTGACTTGAAGCTTTGATCCTTCAGGCTCGCTTTATTCACACACACACACACACACCCTGGCCTGCGGGCCGCAGCCCCTGACCCAGACCGGGGAGGAACAGGCCTCTCCTGGCCGCCGTCGCCCTGCCAGGCAACATCGCAGCGCAAAGAGGAGAAGGAGGCGGAGCTGGAGGAGGAGGAGGACAGCGATGAGCATCGCCTACTCGAGCTCGATGCCGCTTCTCCTTGACATGTACGCGTCTCAGTGGGGTCACCCCGATGCGACGCGCACATGCCTCGCCCCTCTCGCAAGAGTGCCCGACGATGCCTTCTGGGGCCGCCGAGACGGAGGCACCCACAAGGCAGGTCGGCTTCTAGGAGAAATTCGGGGCTTTGCGAACGGGAGGGGTGAGGATTCTTAGCCCGTGGGTGCAGTAGAAGGAGGAGCAACAGTTACGTCGCCCCCAATGCCGCATGCCCTCCTGACTCTGTCCCTCTCGCTCCCAATCCTGCTGCTCCCGATCCTCCCGCCTGCTGCCCGCGTTCCCATTTCTCGTTCCTCCTGGCGCCCATCTCTCGGCGGCGAGCGAGGGGGGGAAGTGAGACGGAGAATGCCTTCTGAGAAGGCGGCGGGACTTCTCAGAAGCCCTCGCGCCCTCTGAAAGGCTTTCTGTGTCCTTGGGGGAGGCTCAGAAAACTTCTCAGAAGGCCGGCGGACTTCCGAGCCTTCTGAGAAGGCCCGCCCCTTCTCATTTCCTCCCCTCGTTCGCCGCCGAATCTCGCTCTGTTCTTCCTGCTCCTCTCTCTCCGCCTCCTTGTTGTCCTGCTCCTCCCTCCCTCTCCTCACTGCTGCTGCTTCTGCCGCTGCTGCTGCTGCTGCTGCTCGCCCGCCCCCGACGTGAGAATACCCCGGCCATGGAGCTTCGCCTCTTCGCCGCCGCCGCAGGCCTCCCCCCCCGAGAGGGGGGCCTGCCTGTCCTCGTCGGACAGGAACAGCTCCTCGGCAAGCTGGGGGCGCACTGCCGCGCGCCGCCAGGAGGGGGGAGGGGGATCGAGCGGGGCACGTCGAGTGGCGGCCGCGCAGGGAAATGGGGGAAAGGGGAGAGAGGAAGGAGGGGGGGGAGAGAGGGGAAACGCTCCGCGCGGGCAGAGGGACAGACAACGAGACACGGCACAATGCGGCACCGTACGGCACCACGCCACACCACACCACGCCGCACACCAGAGTCCAGCACAACCTCACATAACACGCCGTCGCACGAGACAGCGCGACACGACACACGCAGACATGGACACGTATGCTCCGCAAGCGGGTGGGCTCGGAACGTCGAGGGATCGTCTCGTCGGCACGCGCGCAGAAGATCGGCGGTGGTGGCGCTATGCTGTGGCCAGCGAAGTCACGCGACTCGCACAGCTCTAGGGTTCGCTGGAAGAGAAGAACTGCGCCATGGGCTCCTGCTCTGCGCGTCTTGCGGCATGCCGCCGTGGGTTTTGAAAGTGACTGCGCTTCAGGCACCTCTTGCGACCAAGAAGACATGAACACGTCCCCCGGAAACGAGTTCGGTGCCTTGCCACACGCGGTGGCAGCGAGGGCCCTCGGTAGCGCAGAAGCGAAGCGATGACCTTTGGCAGCGGGACGCCCAGCCCCGAGTGTCTGGCGGGCGAAGGCACTGCTGGTGTCGGAGGCACTGGTGGCTCTCCTCATGCCACTGATGGCAGAGCTTCTTGGCATCGAATCGTGCTGGCAGTGGGTTGCCTGTTTCTCTGTGCCGCCTGGCAATCTCATCACTCGCGCCTGGCTTTACTCATCATCGCGCTCGTTTGGGCTACGTCCTGGTTCCCATCGTGGGCGTCCTCATCTAGTTTTCCGTCGTGGGGTTTGGGCAAGTGGTCGTGACCCTTGGGCATTGCTGTGCCAATTGCCCTGGTGGCCGTGACAGATGGTACTATCTGAAATATACGCCACGGTGCCCCCTGGCACGTTGAGGCGTGGACGAATGCCACGGACTGTCCGGTAGGGTTTCTTGACTTCTACTAAGGGCTGCCCCCCCTCTACCAGCAAGCATCTGCGCGCACCGCCCCTCCTGTCCGAAGCAATTCTCTCGTGCCCGCTCGAGAACGGTGGATTTCAGCATGGTCGCTAATGCCTAACCCCTCATTCCACGCGCGCCCGCTTGGGGATGGTGCACCTCCCGCATGGCAGCTATTGCCTGAACTCCCTTCAACGCATGCCCGCTCGAGGACGGTGCACTTACCGGGTGGCAACTGATGCCTGAACCCTCATTCCATGCGCGCGCGTTCTCGAGAATTGTGCAATTCCCACATGGTTGCTGACTCCTAGACCCGCCATCCCGTGCGCACCCGCTCGAGGATCGTGCACTTCCCGCATTTCCAGGCGCTGCTCCAGGGCATCCAAAGCCACGATCACTCGTTAAAGCAATGGAAATGCGCCCCGAGCTTCCAAGACGGCCCGTGCAGGCAACCGAAGGCACCCGGACGGCCCATGATGCCTCGAAGATGGCCCTAGATGGCCCCAAGGTGGCCGAGTATTTGTTCAATACAGCCCAAGATGACTCCACGATGGCCAAAGAAGCATCCACGACAGCCCCAAGACGGCCCAAGAGGCTCTCCCGAGGGACCCAAGACGGCCTTAGAAGGCCCTTCGATGGCCCAAGACGGCCCCACGACGCCCACAAACACCCACCATGCGGCCAAAGAGGCCCCCAGACGGCCCAAGAAAGCCCCAAGCCAGCATCAGAGGTCCACACGACGGCCCAAGAGGGCCCCAAGGGCTCCAAGACTGGCTCACAGGAAGACAAGACAGTCCCAAGACGGCACAACCGAGTTTCATCATCATCGTCATCATCATCATCATCATCATCATCATCATCATCATCATCATCATCATCATACTCATAATTATTATCATCATCATCATCATTAGCATCACCGTCATCATCATAATCCTCAGCCTCAGCATCATCATTGCGACCAGCATCACCATCATCACCGCCATCGTCGTCATCGTCATGGTCATCGTCAACATCGTCATCATCATCACCACCAGCATCATCACCCAAAACACCAACACCACCACCATCATCACCATCATCATCCGAATCATCATTACCATCATCATCATCATCATCATCATCATCATCATCATCATGATCATCACCTACACCATCATCATGACAATCCTCAGTACCTTATCATCACTCTCATTCGCATTATCATCATCCTCCTCCTCACCCCAATCTTCATGATCAAAATCACGATCATGACGATGATGACCAGCATCCACATCATCAGCATCATCACCGCCTCCGTCATCATCATCACCATCATCATCACTATCACTATCACCATCACCACCACCTCATCAACATCATCATCATCAGCATCATCAGTACTAGCAGCACCCGCGGCATCATCATTATCACCATCAGCACCATCGGCATCATCACCACCACCATCATCATCATCATCATCATCATCATCATGATCATCATCATCACCACATTCATCATCATCATCATCATCCTCACTACCATTATAATCACCAGCATCATCATTATCAGCATCATCGCCAACATCATCATCAACATCATCATCCCCACTCCCACCATCGTCCTCATCATTATCACAACAAGTTCCATCGATATCGTCACCATCGTCGTCATTGTCATCATCATCATCGCCACCATCATCATCATCACCACCACCACCACCACTACGATCATCATCATCATCATCATCATCATCATCATCATCATCATCATTATCACCACCTCCTCCATCAGCATCATCATCCTCATCATCATCACAACTCATCGTCGTCGTCATCATCATCATCATCCGAAAGAGCGTGTTCTACCGCTGCTGGCGGAAAACCGGGGGGGGTCACTACGGGTTCGAGCCCCTCCCCCCCCTCCGGAAAACCGAGGGGGGGTCACTACCGGTTCGAACCCCTCCCCCCCCCCAGTTCATCATGAAAAGGGGGGGGGTCACTACCGGTTCGAACCCCCCCCTCCCCCCCCTCGAAAACCGGGGGGGGTCACTACCGGTTCGAACCCCCCCCCCCCTCCTCGAAAACCGAGTGGGGGTGCGGACAGTGGTGGGGACGGTGGTGGTGGGGACAGTGGTGAGGGGACAGCGGGACGGTGGTGGGGACAGTGGGACAGTGGTGGGGACGGTAGTGGTGGGGACAGTGGTGAGGACAATGGTGGGAACAGTGGGGGCAGTGGACAGTGGTGGGGACGGTGGTGGTGGGGACAGTGGTGTGGGGACAATGGGAATGAGGTGGAAACAGTGGGACAGTGGAGGGTACAATGGTGGTGGGGACAGTGGTGAAGGCGGTGGCGAGGACGGCGGTGGGACAATGGGACAGAGGTACAGTGGGGACAGTGGTGGGGACAGTGGGGACAGTGGTGGGAACAGTGGGACAGCTCAGTGGGACAGCGGAGTCAGTGGGACAGTGGGGACAGTGGGGACAGTGGGCAGTGGTTGGGGCCGTGGAGAAAGTGGGGAGAGTGGAACCGTGGTGGGAACAGTGGTGGGGACAGTGGGGACAGTGCGACAGTGGTGGGGGCACTGGTGGGGACAGTAGGGACGGTGGTGGAACCAGTGGGGACAGTGGTGGTGAGGACAGTGGTGCTGGGAACAACAGTGGGGGATGTGATGCGGACGGTGGTAGGGACCGGGAGTCGTTTGCTGGCGGTGAGTGGGGGGGGTGGGGAGGGGTTCGAACCGGTAGTCACCCCCTCCGGTTTTCGAGGGGGGGGGTTCGAACCGGTAGTGACCCCCCCCGGTTTTCGAGGGGGAGGGGGGTGGGAGGGGGTTTAGGGGAAGGAGGGGGGGTTTGCCGGGGGAGGGGGGGGGGGGGGGAGGGGGGGGGGGTCCAGCAGGGGGGGGGATTTTCGGAGGGGGGGGGGGACCCCCGGGTTCCGGAGGAAGAGGGGGGCAATTTTCCACAGTAAAGTGGCGGTGGATCACGCTCTCTCTATCATCCCAATCCCCATCCCCATCATCCTCATCATCCTCATAAGTATGATTTACCCCCCCCTGGGCCAGAAAACCTTTTCAGACGCGCAGCGTGGCAGCGCGGCAGGTTACAAGGTTAAAGGCACGAGCTGACGTACGGCCGCCTGGGGCGGCTGTAAACAGTTACAGTTTGGTCTGGTGAGGCCTGGAGATCTCCCCCAAAGCAAAAGAGAGAGAGAGAGAGAGAGAGAGAGAAGAGGGGAGGCAGGACGGGGTTCGGGACGGCGCAGCAAGAAACCTTGAGGGTTGACAACGGCCGCGGGGAGGAACGATCAATGCTGTGCACCGCGCTCTCATGATCTCCCCCCCCCCTGGGCCAGAAAACCTGATCAGACGCGCAGCGTGGCAGCGCGGCAGGTTACAAGGTTAAAGGCACGAGCTGACGTACGGCCGCCTGGGGCGGCTGCAAACAGTTACAGTTTGGTCTGGTGAGGCCTGGAGATCTCCCTTATCCACGGAGTGGACTGCTTAGAAGGCGTTTATACATTAAATATGACAGCACCCTAGTCAGTTCTTTACAGAACAATCCTTACCCTCCAAGACGGCATGGCGGCAGCCTGTACGAGAACATACAACCCCTTCGACATAACACATCTGCGATCTGCTGGAGAGAGATCAAGCCCGTGGGATAACAGGGTAGTACTCTTTTTTTCAAGCCTCTCCGTACTGACAAAAATCCAAGTGCACAAACGCGGGAGATAAAACCTCGGCCCAAAACAACGTCATCTTGGCGAGCTTTTTAATAGCGGGGGCCTTCCAGACACGACTCGTGCGAGGGTTCTCGATAGCCCAGGGGATCCCAGCTTTAGACGCGGCCTGGCAACATCGCACAGTAAACCACATCAACCGATTTCCATCATTGACTTTCTTGGCGTCTTTTTCCCCAAGGCCTGGCAACCCCATGATAAACTTGGCTTCGTCCCGAAATGGTCCTGGACCGGTGCCGCCCCATCTTC